TCTCTCCTCCTCCTCTCTCTCTCTCTCTCTCTCTCTCTCTCTCTCTCTCTCGTAAAAAGTAAAACTTTTATCACGAAAAGTGGTCGAAGCAAATATATTAAAACTCAAAAACTATTTAAAATAGTTTATAGCAAATTAAAAAATATTAATTGTCACTAATTAAGAATGCGTACCATCCAGTAATATCTAAGCTGGCACAGCCACCTGAAGTCGGTATTTTTGACCACTTGCTCTCTGTATAATTCCGTAAGAACGTCCTTGCTGTGAACATCTAGAGTGACCAACGCCTCTGAAAAAAATTAACATATAACAATCAAAATAAAAAAATTATTTAAACATTTCTACGAGTTTCAAAAAATTTCGCTCTTTAATTACGCACCCAAAGTAATGCGATTCTGCTTCGAGAGGGATCCTCTGATCAGCAAGATAATGTCGTTCAGCTCGTTCTGGCACTGATCCAAGTATTTCTTCAGACCGGCTACTCCCTTGAGCATGGCCTCTTCGACCTGTTGCGTCCAGTATGTCTGACCGATGCATAGCACCGTCTGACCGGGCCACTCAAGGACCCAGACAGTTCTTTTCTTCGTGTGATACGCCAGGATCGCCTGGTGCACCATATGGCGGACGCTCTTCCGCATCTCCGATTCTAACTCGATCAACCACTTCTCAACTTGCCCCCTGGCGGCGGAAGTGGATATGATCTCCAGGATTTCGACTTCCTCGCCTTCCGTCGACCGCATCGCTAGCACTTCGAGGTCTTCGTTGAACCTCAGTCGAGCTATGCCTTCGAAGCACTTTTTCAGATGCGGCTGCACTCTGCAAAATAACGTCATTGCTATTTTCAGATTTCAGGAAATTAAAAATCATAAAGAAACTTTCTATTTAAATTGTATTTTTTGGACAAAATAAAATAAAAATAAAAATTAGAATTGAAATTAAATGTAAAACTATACAGAATTAAGTTATACAACAAGCTAAAATGTTCAATAATTTTATAAAATTGCTGTTAATTTTGTGGTTTTTGGTAATTATAAGTAAATTACCGCGTAGGATCTTTCGTCTCGGACAGAATCTCCAGCAGCTCGTCGTTGGAGAGGAAGAAGAATCTCGGGAAGAAGAGCCTCTTTTTCTCCAAATAGTCGTTTAGGCCTTTCTGAATTAATTCCAGCAGCCCGAAGCTTTTCTTCAGCCGGTCCAGCATCTTGTCGATCTCGACGACGGCGAGAACGAGCGGGTCGCCGTAAACGTTCTTCATGATTTCACGCCAGATCTTGTCGACCTGCGCGAATTTTCTGCCTTCCTCCGGCATCTGTTGCTGGATGTCCGGTGATGTAAAGATCGGCTCCAGATACATCCATGTGCCCTGAACTTTCAGCCACTGGTCAAGGATGTTTTCCAGCAGATGCAGCGTCTTCTCCCACTTGCTATATAATTTTATTTGTCCTTGTTAGAAATCACAAGTTCTTTTATTCTTTTACAATGTCAAATATTATAAATTTTATTACAGTATACAGTTCCGAATATTTTTATTGTAGTATTACATTAAATTTTAATTTTATTATACTTTTCTTAGTTATTAAATATAACATTTATTGCTATCATATTGTTTTTCATTTCGTTATAATTTTATTATGCCAATTATTTTAGTCTTTTTAGAAGCATAACACTCTGAAATTTGCGCTTTTGATTCTCATAGCTTTTTCTTGAAAATAAAATAATTTTTGTGTAATAAAAATAAGAAACAGATTAACTGTACGAATAATATTACATTAATCTTCAGCGTTAGAATTTATTTGCAGTCAAACTCACATGATTCTGGCTTCAAAAGGCTTGATGTACGGCGAGTTCTTGATTGTAACGGCCTTCGTGATGTGATCGTCGAGCAGCAACTGTATTTCGTCGACGCCAGCAATAACGTAAGTGCCAGTGTCCTTGTAAGGATTCACCGTGAATGCCAGATCGGTCCAGTCCCGCTGCATTTTGTCTATACCCTTCTCCAGGGTGCTTTCCTTCGTGGCGGACTCGGAGATGCCCTCAAACTGCGCGATGAAAGTATCAAGGCCCATCGCCAAGATCTTGCCCAGCGTCAGATCGGGATCGACCTTGATCGGAATGTTGACGATCGCGGAAACCTGGTCCCAGTGCCGTGACTTCATCCCGGGATTACCCAAAGTCATCACCACCGGCATCTGCTCCTTGAACTCCTCGATCCTCTCGCGCACCGCGCTTGCCAGATCGCGCGCGTCCGGCTCCTGCAGCGCCTTCTCCAGTTTGTAAATTGTTCTGATCGCAAAAAAAATAATAATAAAATTAACTGTGAAGAATGTTATTGCCGATTTATGAAGCTAAAAAATGTTATAGAATAATTTTACCCCACATTTTGATCTTCCGTTTTATTAAAATTTCTTATAATAATTTTTATTATATTTTATCGTGATATTTTATTTTTTATATTGGCATAATTATATTATAACAGTTGTTTTAGGCGCGCATCAACCTGTAATATTGTCCCACGTCGCTGTCGATGTCCTCGGGATTGTACGCGCCGATTGTGCTGTTGATCCACTTGTCGTATTTGGTCAGGAATTCGCAAGCACTGTCGAAGAGCTTCTTGAAGGGCTGCAAGCGGTCGGCAATGCGCTTTCGCAGGGGGTACTGCGTAATCTCCCAGCCGAACGCGGCCTCTTCCTCATTGAACTTGTCAATCTTGTCCATTGCGGCAATCAGCCGATTGTCCAAAGTTTGCGCCTTGCGCTGGTATCGGTACACGTCATCGATGTCGCCCCAATACTGCACCTCTTCCACTTGTTTCACGTACATGTCCAGCTCCTCCTCGAACTTCTGATATCTGACTGTTGACAAAAATATATGCAAACTCTAACTTGAAGAAAAGTGTAATAAAAATAAACGAACTTTCTTCTTCGAAGTATTTGCCGCAGAGAAATAGTAACAAAAAATTTAAAAAACCTTGCATCTTATCTTCGATTTGGATTGTCGGTTAAAAAAAGTTTGAACGTCAAATTCTTTGCGTTTAATTAATACGTATAAAAAATTGATTTCTGATATTCTATGTGCCTCGATTTTAATTACAAAAATAAGTTAATCAATTGAACATCGAAATGATTGTTAAAAATCAAAGGAGATGTCGAGTCAACCTCTCAATGCACCCTGATACTCCTGCGTCTTGTTCTCGATGATCAGCCGATTGTCCTCGAGGATCTGGGGCATTCTGTGATACCATTGGAAGGCCGTGCTGTTGTTACTTATCTCGCCCTCCGTGAGTAGCCAGTAATCCGACAGAAACGCGATGTGCTCAATCACGTCCAGCAGCCTGAGCTCCAGGCTCTTTAAAGTGACGTCACTGGTAGTTTGAACGAACTTGATGAGCTTCATCAGAGCTGCGGTATTGGGAGGTGGGGTCAGGGCTTGCTCGGATATCGCCTCGTATTCCGCTATGACGCTAGATACAAATACAGTCTCGGAAATTGATCACCTAGTACAATGTTTGCAGATGGAGAATTGTCAGGCGGAGTAAAAGTGATTTTTATATTTAGAAAGAATTTAATTGCATTTAATATTCCAAAATTACGATAAAGTTTTATGAAATCAATCAAGTGTTTAATATTTTTGTATACTTTTTAAACTACGTAATCAATTTAAAGTAATAATCATATCTATTAAACATTGAGAAACTTCAAAAGATAATTTAATGTAAAAACCGACGCTATTATGATAAATTAATTATAAAATAAGAAAATTACAACAATAACGCATGTGAAGAAGTTAAAAATCAACTATCAATATCTAATTTTGGAATAAAATATTCACTTCTTTGTCGTAGTCTGATATTTATCGACAAGGCGGTGAATCAAAAGTCCCTTGATGTGCTCGACGTTCTCCACAACGGCGTTAACGAAAGGCGCGTGAGAGACTTCGAAGAAACCTGCGAAGACCGTCCTCTCAACCTCGATCGGAATTTGGCCGACGAGTTCGTGATAGCGCTTAATTTTCCCCTCGTATTCCTCCAGCTTCCTGCTCTCGCCGCGCAGGAAGGCCTCTGCTCGACCAAGCTCCTCGTCGTCGTAGAGATACGCATATCTGCGCAGAAAAGAGAATTATCAGATGCTTCATCGCAAGCAATCGCAGATGCTTCACAGCAATAGGATCGATAAGCACTTTCTCAAATCCGCCATCCTTTGCTCCGGAATTACCCTTTCGTGATCGATTAGCCGATCTATCTGCGTCTTCAGCTGCTCGACGACGGGCTGCGATATCTGCGGCTGTGAAGCGCATAATTATATTCAAGCCACATTTTCTAGAAATTATTTAAAATATATTTAATAAAATCAAATAACAAGTCAATCAGAAATTTATTTATCTAGTAAAGTAAATTAAATAAATAAATTTAAATGATATAATTATACTATGATTTATATTCTGTAAAATGGATTTTTTATATGTCCGGATTCTCCATGTTTAACAATGCAAAACCTTAAGGAATTCTAGTGGACCCGCCCAGTCAAGGTAGAGCTGCGTCTCCAATCTTTCGAAATTCCTCACGGCTTCGCATATCGCGTCGAGAATGTCGCAAAGCGATTCCTTAAATTTGTCGACGGATGGCTCGAAGGCGAGCTCATTGGCGGCGACGACAATGTTCACTTTAAAGCGGCAAGCCACGGGCTGTATGAGAGAGAGAACATAAAAGAAACCTTTTGAACGTTAATGGAGAACCTGACCTAAAACTACAAATAGAGATATAAATCAAAAATTCTAGAGAAACTTAAATTTCTGAATTTATTTGTAAGCGTAAAATAAAAATTATTTTCTTGAATAATATCTATCTTTGTGAAAAAACATTTTTACATTATAAACTCCACCAAGTTTTTAAAAATTTGTAGAAAATGGTCCTTTTATTAAATTGACAAATTCTGCGATTTTTCAAAAATTGTTTTCTCTTATTTATTTTCAAAATTCGAATTGGTTGTTAAAAAAATCTGGGTTACGCGCGTGATGGAGCTCACAGCAAAAGCTGTGACGAGGCTTGAACAACCTCCTTGATAAGCAGAAATTGATGGAAATTGTGCCTCTGAGTGTTCCAATAACGGCGCGATGGGATAAGCGATGGAAGGAAAACGCGGACCGCTTCCGCGTCTGGAAATGATTTTGCGACGATCGATCGCGGGCAGGTGCATACGCATATATACTCACCTTGCCGTCCACGATGTAATTAACGAAATCCCGCAGAGAGCGCTTGCAAGCCTCCAAAAGCTGCGACTCCATCAGCTTGGCAGCGCAGTCGAAGAACCGTTTAAATTGCTTACGTCGCAGCGGGCTAGGCACCAGCTTCTTCCTATTATTCTTGAAAGAAAACCAGAGAAAATAAGATATTTCTGGCCTGTCTTTCAAGAGGTTTATTATTTATTGTACAACCGTCAAGCAAAATTCACAGATAAATAAACGACAAAAATAAAAAAATCGAAACAGGTTCGAATAAATTGCTAATTTATTCCATTCAATTCTTTTCTCCGTGCATCACACTTTAAACCGTCGAGTGGAATTAATGAGAAAGGCAAATGAATAAAACTAAATAGCTGAATAAAAGCTTTGATAACGTAGAAAATAATAGCTAATTTTTATTTCGTCTAATTCTCTCGCAGCG